GATTATGTTATGCTGTTATTGATTGATAGGAATAACTAAAAAGTTGAATAAAACATAAAACAGGTTGCCAAGTCAAGAAATATTAGAACTTTTCATCAGTCTCAAAATGTCATACATATTTGTTATTCCAATTTACAATTTGTTTTTTGTATTTTTTATAATATACAGTCAACATTCTTTTATTTCTTTATCCTCAGAAAAAAATTAGTTTTGTTTATTTTTAGCAACTATAAAAATGTGCCCTCCTCTAGATTTTTCTACTCAGGATAGATGTTTCTCTAAAACATTTTTCTTTTTTTAGGAGTTACAATGAGGTCCAAAAATATCTCAGTCACCATTTAGCAATGTTATTTTCACATACAGATCAAAGTCAGCTTCTTGAAGTTGCAAAACTTTTTATATATTGCATGGAGGTTGGTTTTTAATATAATATACAAAATATATTATTAATTATTTTTCTGTGGCGCAGACATCTGAGAGTAGAAAAAGAGAAACCTTAAAGGTCTGTTGGAGTATTTAGGGGATTTTAGGCAAGCAGTGTACAGTTGAGCAGTGTGTAATGAGACTTGGATTCATTTATCTTTTGTTACTGCTACATAAAAGCTACTTGGTGCATAACTTTTTGCCTCCATATATAATATGAATATTAAAAAAAAAAATTTTAAACATTTTTACAGCAATTATTGTTTTATTTGCGAAAAAAACACAAATTTTCCATTAAATATGCTGAAATGAGGGGGTACCGCCACCCAATTTTTATTTTTTTTGAATAGGCCCTTTATATATATATATATATATATATATATATATATATATATATATATATATATATATATATATATATATATATATATATATATATATATATATATATATATATATATATATATCTGTGTGTGTATGTATATATATATGTGTGTGTGTGTGTTACATTTAATGTGTGTGTTCAATTTTAATGTTAAAAGTATTTACTTACCACTTAACTGTGGTGCAGATTTAAAAATCACATTCTCCATTACAGTAAAATATATTTGTTTAGGATTATTTCAAGTTGTTTAGCTCTTTTTCGTAAAAAAAAAAAGTGCCGTAAATTGTAAACGTTTTATTTAAAAAAAAAAATTCAAGAAAAATGTTTTTAAGAAGTTAATTTTACACATCTCTATATAAAAATGCTTATAACAAATCAAATTTGCAGGCAATGAAAAGATAAAATATTGATAAATCTATTAATAATAAAAGTATATATGAACAAGTATATATTAATAAAAGTAATATATTAATAATAAATAATAAAAATATTTAAAATATATATTAATAATAAAAGTCATTTACAAACAGCTTTAAAATTTTCCTTAGTATGATAATACAGTATAAAATTAGACACAACATACAAACCAACATACACATACACATCTTGTCTCTGATTTTGCTTTGTTCTCAGAGCATACAAAACACCTTCTACCAGTTTTGACAGTTTTTTCTGTAGCTCAATGAAATAACGTTCTGTTAATTGTAAAAATGAAGGTAATACATGAGTTCAACTTCTATTTTTTTTCCACTGATTCATGATATTTTAAAATACTCTTTTTAATAATTGATTCTCTAAACTGTTAGAGTGTCATATTAGATGATAACTTATTTTTATAATATTTGTACTGAATGCAAAAATACTAATTAGGAGCATAAAAGTTTATATACCATTTTTTTACTCCTTTTTTTTTTCAGATTCGTAGGTTGTCAAAATTTGGTCAGATCGGTCAATGCCATCCATGTTTATGTTATATTCATGTACCAATTTTGAGGAATTTTTTTTCTTTACCAGCTCTATTAACAGTGACTATATTGTTTGAAACACAGGTACTCAGCATGTGTACATCTCTCTTATCTCTCCATTTGTTATGCATTATATTTGTATTTGTATCATATCACACTAAAGTAACACCAGTTTCTAGATTATTATATCTTGTGGAAACTGTTTGCGATTAATGTGTAATGTGCTAATACAATCAGTATTATGATCTAGCAATACCTTAAAAATTTCATAAGATGTGTACCAATTATCAATATGCAAACAATAACCTTTATCCAATTAAGTTATCCATTAGTGTAATAATAATTTTAGTAGCTTGATATTTGTATTTCTCTAAATAAATAGAAAAACTGTTGCTCGTTTCAGTTCCAGTGTACAAAAACCAATTCCAAATATAACCTAATTCAGATTCACACAATATAAAAGACTTTATACCAAGTCTTGAATGTTTGCTTGGAATGTATTGCTTCTAGCCTAAGTGACCTCTCTAAAGCAGTAATGATTCATCTATGGATATATTTTTATGTGGTAAATTACATATATTAATTTACTATTTAATAATTAATAATAAATTACAGTAGTTTGACAAACTACTGTTGTTAACAAAATGGAGAAACTTCTCAGTAAGAAAGTTTATCAATGGTGTGTCAAACAGAGGGTTTATTGAAAAATATATGGCATTTGTTGGTTTCCACAGGGTTCCATGGTATAAAATGAATGCTATGTACAGTCTTATATCATTTCTGACTAATGGTATTCATTTCTGAACTCTAGATCTACATTTGAGTTCATTATTTTTATAAAATTCTGCTTCAAAAATGTTACTTCGCTCTACATTCAGATTGACAAGCTCTTTGGTTACAAAAGCTTCAAATAAAGTAAGAGGGCTACTACCAACTAAAAAACTTGTTTGAGGTCCTGGGTTTCCTTTAAAATTTACAGAGTTTGCTTTATAATTATCAGCATTAATCCAATTTGGTTCATTGTCTAAAATATTTTCTCCTAATGGCATAACATCAATGTCAACAACATCAGTTTCTTTATTATCATCTGTTGATGAGCTTGTAATTTCTTCTTCAGTCACAGATTTTATTGATCCTTCATCAAAAGAATTTTTTTTGTTAGTGTATATATATAGTTTTTATGGGTATTTATGTATGTATGTACTTATATATATATATATATATATATATATATATATATATATATATATATATATATATATATATATATACATATATATATATATACATATATACATATATATATATATGTATATATATATATATATCTATATATATATATATATATATATATATACATATATATATATACATATATATATACATATATATATATATTTATGTATACATGTATATATATATATATATATATATATATATATATATATATATATATATATATATGTATATATATACATAAATATATATATATGTATATTAGGGATATGACTTTTTAAAAAAAAATTTCCCTGGCCCAAAAATGGATGAGTTTTTACGCTTAAAATGCGAAAATATTAATACTTTCACGATGTTCAAAAAAAATGTCATGCCCCAAAGCACATTAAGATTTAAAAAGGTTTTAAAAAAATTAATGACCAAAATCATTTCTATTTGTAAACATGTTCATTCATATGATTCTATAAAAAAACATAATTTATTCTAACAATTAATACATGGCATAGTGTTATATTCAATGCAGGAAAAAACATTTTATACAATTTAAATACATACAGCTATTGTTTATAGACAAAATGAAACGAAGTGGAAGATTGTCTTTATTTCTGCACAATCTATAAAGCTCCTCCATTACCTTAATTGCTCTTTCAGCACATTGATTACTTCTGGGAATGTTGATTGCTGATGGTTCTGGATTCCAATGACTTGTAAATGTAGCAAGAGATTTCTTTTTGTTTAATAAAACTTCATGAAGGTCTGAATAAGTGTTTTCTTTATAGGTTTGGTTGTCAAACCAAAAGTCTGCCCACTTGTAAGAAGTAAAGGTACATACAGATTCAAGTTTGTTTCTTGTTTTTGGCATAAGAATGTAGGCTAACAACGCTAAAATAGATCTTGAACTCCACCGAGCATTACTGATATTAGGGATTTTTTGAAATCTTACATTAGGAAATATTTTATTTTGGTCATAGTATTGGTAGGTTCTCGTCAGATGAAACAGAAACTTCATGTCATCTCGCCATCCTCCTGTGTCTTTTATTTCTTCTGTACCATTATAAAAACTTGTCTTCAGTGTTTCATAATGTTCTAACAACTCGTTAGTAAAAAAGTAATTAATGTTTGGTGAGTTTGGATTTTCTCCCAATTTTTCTTTCATTTCTAGTCTAAGTATTCTATCCAAGATATGATGTTGACATGGTACAAATTGAGGTTTTTGTAATCCTTTTTTTTGAAAAATGTCCTGAAGTTTTACAACACCATTTTTCTTTCCGCTATTGACATTTGTAGTATCTGTCACAATCATTTTAATCGAATTCCATAGTTTAAATTCATCTATAATATCAGCTATGGCATTAATAATAGTGATAGATTTTCCATCTATTAACTTTATTTCTCTTCTTTCATTTTTAAGAACGACAACCTGATACTCCCATTGGTCTATATACTTTCCATCGAAGTGTAGACTTCAATTCTCATTCTTTAAATCTTGAATTAAAGTTTCTTTAAATTGTTTTGCTTCATTAAAAAGAGCCTTGTATATTCCAGACTGTGATGGCGCTGGAACATGTATGCCTTCTGAGGACAGTATTTTACCTATTTTAGAAGCTTTCTTAGTTGATACCTTAGCACAAACCACTAACTTTGTTGCTATTTTACAACTACTATATTTTTTATGTCTTTTCTTCAAATTATTATATTCTTCATCTGTAATTTCATTATCTATCTCAAATTGTTCATCAGTTTCTTCAAATTTGGAACTAGAGTTGTCTCTTTCTATTTTACTACTTTCAGTAAATGAAGAAAAACTTTTAGATGCTGAAGGTTGGCTGGAAAGTTTTTGCACAATTGATGGATGAATAGTCTTCTTTCCTGCCAGCTTTGAAGTAGCATATCCAATTTCTCCTTTGCTTTGTAACTGAATTTCATAAAATCTTTTATCTTCAGATGATAACCAAATGCCATTTTGATTTGTTATATCAAAAATCTCTTTTTGCAGAAGGTCGGCATTTCCTTTTTTTCTGAGACTTTCATATTTTTCTATAACATCATTAATCTTTCGCTTCACTGACTGCTCTGTCAGACATGGGAAATTGAATTGTTCTTTCCACAAACTTTTAACTTCTTCTGAAATAAGATATTTCCTTTGCTTTTTGGCTTTCACATCAGTACTAGACAAATACTTAAACCTGCTAACAATATCACTTTTTAATGGCATTTTGGAATATTCTTGAAAAGATGTTTCTAACATTGGAAACTGTCTACTTTTATGCGAATCTTGAAATTTCACAAGAATTTTTTTATAAGTCTCTTTATTTTTTTCAACGCTTGATTGGCAGTATTTGTATGCCATTTTAATTAAAAGCAGCACAAAAAAATCTGAAACTAATTAATAAACAATTAGGCACGGTAGTGAAAAACTAGAAATTATAAAGTGGTAATGCATACGTCTGGTATGTATTTAAAATTATATATATAATATATATCAACTGTCTATATATATTTTATTATATATAATATAATAATATAATATAATAAAATAGATATAGAGGGTTATGACTTCTTTAACTTATGTTTTCTGGCCCATTTGTAATATGTATAGTATATTATATACCTATCTATATTGTATTAAAAAACATTTCAGCCGAGGGGCGTGACATTTTTTTACACTTGAAGGAATATATATATATATATATATATATATATATATATATATATATATATATATATATATATATATATATATATATATATATATATATATAGTTTTGCATGGTAGTCACAAAGTTTTTCCCATAAACTGTTGTTTTAAAGAGCGCCTTAATAATCTGTTGTTTTAAAGAGCGGTTTTAAACAACTGTTTAAAACAACAGTTTTAAAAAACTGTTGTTTTAAAGATCGCCTTAATAAGCCTGACCAGAAAATGTTAAAAAACTTAACATTTTCTGGTCAGGATATATATAACACTATAAGGATATATATATATATATATATATATATATATATATATATATTTATATTTATATTTATATATATATATATATATATATATATATATATATATATATATATATATATATATATATATATATATATATATATATAAATTTACATATAAAGGATAAAAAAGAATTGGATTTTTCTACGTTAATAAAAGAGACTGTTATTAACTCGGCTCTACTTGAATATGTATCAGATGAATTGGTTACTGGATATAATTTTGCTCAGTTAATCAAACCTGGAGAATCTTTAACAGAAGTCTTATTACTTGAACGTGTTGCGGCATTGCGAATATCTTTGACAGTATCAGCTCAAGTATTGTGTACCTGGTTTCTTGGAGAAACTTTTAACGAAACAAAAATTAAAAAAAATTTTGATAGCTTTTTGGCCTTGCTAACAAAATTTATTCTTAAGTATAAAGACAGTCAACCGTATTTTTATTTCTTGAAGCAAATTGTTCGAAGTTATGGTATTCAAGGTTTGAAAGAGATTGTAATAAAGCCTGAAGTTGATTGGCTTCTTAATCAAGATGAAAGCGTTGTAAGCTGTCGTTTGGTTTTTTATGATTTAAAGAAAAGTCTTTTTTCTTTCTCACACTTTAACAATAATTTTTTACATTATTTATTTACTTATTTATTTTTTCCACTTTTTCTTGACACATATACTAATGTATTTTTGCTGACATGTAGTAAATTGCATTGCTTCATAATGTTTTGAATTTTTAGAACAATATGACAAGTTATGACAAGTTTTTGGTATATGGGGATCATTATAAAAAAATTCGTGATCGTTTAGTTATTTGTATTTTAGAAGATAACTTGCTTGGTATAACTCAACTGGAAGAAGTAAGATTATCTTTTTATTGTAAAGATTTATTGAATTTGTTATTTTTTTACTTAAAGTATGAGTAAAATATTAATGAACTTTTTGCTAATAAATATTAACATCTTATTTTGTATTAACAGTACAGATAATTAGTAATTACATAGAATAAATGTAAAAAAATGAATTACATTTTCTTGTAGGATGATGAGAATAAAACAAATATTTTTCTTCAATTATCATTGTTCAAAGGATTATCCAATCTTCCTGTAAGGAGGAATATCATTTATTATGATTACAAAGTATAAATTTTTTGTTTAATTTTTTTGTAAATTTTTAAATTTGCAACTAATTTTATTCTTTTTCTTTAGAGCCTTGCAATTCTCAAAGATAAAATAAGAATACAGGTTAAAAAAATCTTTTTTTTTTTATTTTTTTTTATTTTTTTTTATTTTTTTTTTTATTTTTATTAGTTTTACTGTTGTATAACTAAATTTGTCTTTAGACATGTTTATCTGCCATAAGAAGCTTTTCAACTTTGGAATCATATTCTTCAATTTTATATCATTTCTGGGTTGTAATAAATTCTGGAAATCCTTCTGCACGTCTTTTTTTGTTGCTGGCCACGCACCCACAACAAGTTTATGTTAGAATATTACATACATGTTTTAAAAATAGTTTCATTTTATAGAAAAGAAGATGATTTTAAGGAGATAAACAAGATGGAAAAGTTTAAGGAGACAAATTTTTATAATCAAAAAAATAAAACATTTTGAAAATTTATTAACAGATCTAAACCAAGGATAAGTTGCAGGATAAATTAGGGTAAATTACAAACAAGTTAGGGATCGTCCATAAATTATGTAACGCGAAATTAAACTTATAGACAAAAGATAAAGGATTAAAAGTTTTCCTTTGCAGTCTTTATTTAAATCAAGAATATAAACAACCTTGCAAATCCAGCAAAAACTGCCTTGCAAAAGGGAAAAATAATCTCCTACTTATATTTTTTAAATAAGTTTGGCGTTGCATAATTTATGGACGATCTCTTAAGGCATTTTACAAATAAAGTCATACACATTTTAAATGTGTAAAAAATCACCAAGATAAAATAAAGTATGCAAGCATAATAAATTATAGATAATTACTTCAAAATCAAGAATTGCAATAAAATTAAATTTTTGATCTGTGGGTTATTGTTAACAATAAATAAAAAAGATTATTTTATTGTTATCAAATGGAATGGTGCTTAAAACAACATTTTTAAAAAGTGTCTTTAAATAAAGAAAATAATTTTTTTTTTTATATATTAATTTTGATGACTGTAAAAAGTTGATCTCCTTGGACCATAACCTTCTTGATATTTAAATCATGTTTATTTCCTAAGTATTATCTTTTTTATATTTTATTATTGTTTACTTTGATTATCAAACTATGTTTTATGTACAATTTTAAAAAAATTTTAACCAAGTGTAAAAGTGTAAATAGAGTTCATACCACCTCATTTGGAGTCCGTTTTTCAAAAATGTTGCATAGATTTTGCTTTTTATTAGAGATGGTTTCTTCCAGCAATGCCACATGATAACTTATCAGATGTTTTTGGCTTAAATCGTAGTGATAACAGCAATTCCTTTCTATTTTATGGTAACCTTATTTGCTCAAAATATAATGCTGTTTCAATTATTTATTTTTTTTTAATCTATTTAAATGTTAAATTTAATTATTAAATCTATTTTGCATTAAATTTATGTTTAGCATGTCCTCGTGGTCATCCATATGTGATAACAAATGTAAGAGCTTAATTTCATGTTTTAATAATTTCATTTCATATTTAATTTCATACTTAAAGGTAAAAGTAGTTGTATAGTAAATTAAGATAAGGTAATCTTACATAATAGATATGAATAACTTTTATTTAAAAGAATATACAAAGTATTATTATCTTTATTATTATTATTAAGTATTATTATTATTATCTTTATTATTATTTTTAAGACTTCATTATCTTTTTAAAGTTCTCCAGATTTTTTTGTAAAAATGTTTTATGCAGTTTTGTTTTATGCTCTTTTTAGTGTGGTCGACCTAATCAAACATATGTGTGTCCTGTTTCAAGTTGTCGATTACCAATCGGAGGAGAAGGTCATACACTGCTTCCAACAAATCAAATTGTTTCTAATAGGTATTTATTTGAACAAATATAAAAAATAATTTGTCTCCAGATATTTTATAGTAAAAAATTATATAAAATAATGAAAAAATAAACATTTTTATTAACAAAAGTAAATATTTGTATATCTATAATATTATATTTTTGTAGATTTTTTAAAACAGTCAAATTTTCTTCAAAAAGGTTTCTAGAATGATTTCTTAAAATGGGTTTTATGAGTTGTTTTTTTTTTTTTTTTTTTTTAATATCTCCACTTCCAACAAGGCTGCAAACAAACACTATTAGAGTTGGAAGTTACTGAAAGAGAAAAAATAAAGTTTTTTAATTTGCATTTGTTAATTACATTTACCCCCCCCCCTCCTCACACACAGACAAATATACATGCAGGTATATTTATCTGTGTGATATATATATATATATATATATATATATATATATTATATAATTAAAAATATATATAGTCTATAGTCTATTTATGTGTGTGCATGTGTACATGTATCCACATGAAACATCACTGATGATGTCATACTTTGATATTTAGTTTGTTTTCAATGGATTTAGAAATCTTGATTTACTATACTATTACTTTTACTCTACTATTATTAATTACTATTTATTAGAGTTGATGCTACAAAACCTGGTCATTGTTTGGGTCCAGCTTCAGAACGCTCAAATTTTTCTATTCCACAGCGTGAATTGACACCTTTATCAGTTACACTTCAAAATTTATTAGTGCATCTTTCATTACTTGTTGCAACATTGACAGGTCATGTAGAGGTATTTATAATTTTTTTTGAAATTTAAAGAAATTTATCAATTAAATTCTAAAACTCTCATTAATACTAGCATGTTGTGAAATTGGTGCATCCAGAAGTAAATTCAAATTCAATGCAAATGTTTCTAGTACAGCACATTGATAAAGATCTTGCTCTATTGTCTAATAGAATTGCAAAGAATAATGATGATACAAACTCTGCAGTTCACACATTTTTAAAACACCTGCTATTAAATGATGAACCAGGTATATCTTTGTTTTACTATTAAATTGTAATTTCTTTTTTCATAATTACCAAACTTCAACATGATTAACAAATCCTCCAGAATGAGGCTTGTTAGTGACATCACTTGCTAAGTTTTTACTTTTTTTTTTTACACACAAAATTTAAAAACATCTACAAATTTACCTATTTTAATTTTTTTGTGACATATGACCCGCCTTGCGAGTTAATTATTTCCATATGATGACTGACCTAGGTCATCAATATATCCTAAATTTACAAACTTTTTCTTTACTATAAGAAGAAGATGTTTAGTAAATCAAAATCTTATTAGCTGTAAAATTTAGAGAATTTTACTTCAAACAGTTAATTCCATTTCTAGATCATTTGCAATTTAAAATAGAAGTTTGTAAAAAATGTCTTTCAAAAAAAATAACTATGCAGGTATGAACAAGATTTTAGAAATTTTATTTAATAGTAGTGATGCAGAAAA